CTTTGCTAGGACCCAGGGCTTTTCGCCCTGGTGACCTACTGTCCCCGGCCCTGTCCTTGCTCTGCTCCTGTCTGTCTGACTGCTTACCACACGTCTACGGAGGAGAGGAGCCCAAGGTTTAACCACTTAGAGCAGAGGAAAATTGGTTGTCAGGAAGGGACTGCCCGGAAGTCGCCACGCTCCTTATTTTGACATATTTCTGCTCAGATATGGAAATGGCCCAGGGGGAGCAGAGTGCCCCTCCTGCCCCCCTTCCTGCCCCCCGCCCCTTTCCCATCTGCACCAGAGGCTCAAGGAGAAACCGTGCCTTCCCAAAGTCCCTGGACCTCAGTGACTCAGTCCTGAGCAGGTGGACAGACAGTCTCATTAGGCAACTGAACTTGACCCCATGGCTGGGTGACACTACCCAGCTTCTCAGACACGACTAAGGGCTGTGTGAGGAGCCTGGAGTGGGGGTCCCCCCTATTAGCTAAAACCGCAGCCCAGAGGAGTCAGTATTTTCTGCCACCGTTACAAAATAAAAAGTAGCATACGCTCCGTGTCTCCATGGTAACTCACGGTGGATCTGTATTCCATTTATGAAACTCTTCTTGACCTATCGTCTATGGTTGCTGATGGGGCCTGACTATACACTGAGAAGCCATCGGGATGAATTCAGTATCCCCTCTGCACTGGTTGTTTTAGCCGTGTAGACCCTGCCGCTGGCCCATGCAGTGATGATACCTGGAGACCCTCAGGTACCTGGAAACGTTAAGGCACCGGTAGTACCTCAATTATCCCAATAACTCCGGATGTAGGGTTGCCATGGAGACCGGGAACCTTGGTAACAGAGAAGTGAGGCCGTTCCTCTCCCTTCATAGCACTGGGTCCCTGAGATGCATCAATGTTAAGTCCCATGGCCTAGCCTAAGCTGGGCTGTTTTATTTTATAGCCAGCTAATTGCCCTCTAAAATATTGAGAGTTTTGACATGAATTTGCATAGGAAATGCACACATTTCTAGCCACCGACTCAAGTATTTTCTGCTAAAAATGGTAACTGATGGTTTTGACCATGAGCGGGAGTTATACGTCCTACGACCGGGCAAGTTATTTACCCTCCGGTTCACCCCCCTGTTTAAGTGGGAACAATGGTGCCGCGGAGAACTGCCCTGCGCATTAGCCCAGAGACGCTCAC